AATCCAAATAGCAACTTAAATTTTAATATTCTGTGTGAAAACTTACATAGGGGATATTCAGTTGACAACTAATTCTTCTAAATTTCACCCAAAATATTGGGTATAAAGCAAATTGTACTATAAAATATGTATCTGAAATATGGTTTGATGGGGGTATTCTGTTAATAATATGTATAGAGAGAGATTCAAAGTATTTTTTGAAAGCAAAAATATAGTAACCGTCTAAAAGTACAGCCAGAGAGAATTTCCCATATTGAGGAACTTAGCTTTTTCAACAAGCTTCAGAATCTGAAGGTCATGGAATCTAAAATGTAGAACTATACATAATCAGACAATAAATTCAATGTTCAAACACCATGAGTACTAAATTGACTTTTAAAATGTATTTTTAGTTATATTATTTCTAAGATCACTTTTTTGAATAATTTCGCATAAGAAAAAAGCATCCTTTGTCTTTTAAAATTATTTGTGTCTTTTCAGTATTTGTATGTACATTTGCAAAGGTTGTCATTTATAAAGGAAGGCTAGCCATTTTAGAAGGAAGAGAAAAGGGGTGGTCTCAAACTTGGGTTTAAAGCCAGCAGACATAATGCTTGACCTGGAAATACCTTAGAGCCCTGAGAACCAGTTCAGCCACAGAAAAGCTGCCTTTCAGTTCCTGCCATCACTGAATAGCCTGGCTAAAGCATTCACAGCTTTGCCCTCTGGCAAGTTGTGGAGAGAGCATACAATGTGAATCTTGAGTTCAGTTGGTGGAGGCTGAACTTAAAACTACTTGAACACACTGGTGCTATGCACACGCGTACCTGCCGCTCCTGTCGGGTCCACTCCAGCCTCACTCTGCTCTACCATTTCTCAATCCCCAAGGCTGTCGACACTGGTGATAAACATCCCTTCAAACAGGATTTGGGTTGATATGGGTTCTTATCTGTGTTTTCTTTTTATTTCCCTTATGAGAACAGCTTGCACTGTTCCCTACAGTTTCTGTAATGTAAACTGTGTAGGAAGGAGAGTTTGTCTGACAGAGACAACGCGGCTCTTCATACTCACTCAGAAAACTGAGCATGATTTCTGTCTCCCAGCCCTACCCTGAGTGTGTTTCTCTTGCTTTTAATCTTTAGGAATTATTATTGTATGAAGACAGTTTTTTTTAAAGAATATCTAAAACCTGGAACAGAACTCAGTCAGTCCTGCTCCAAAGAAAACTGAAAGAAGGATCATCTTTTGAAACAATTTACTGCAACCTGGTTTTCAGTGTTTTATTGAACGTACACATCTTGGGAAAGTGCAGCCGTTAGTGTTGGAGAGCAATGTCTTTTCCTCCACTAAGTTCTTACTTTTAATTCTTAGTTTTGCTTATGTTTTAGTTACTGGAAATAAACCACGCTCCTGCTAGTACAGTTTGTTTAAGACTCTCATAGGTTTGAACATTACTCTGTGTATGTATATACTACTCTAAATATTCAACATTTTCCTCCTGTTGCCAGATGTCACAGTATATAGCTATTCATCTTCTGATTGTCTTTTTTCTTAACTTTTTTATAACCTTTAAACCCCCAAAACTATCAACCTATCTATAATAAAGTTGTCTGGTATGTCTTCTCATTTTGTATATAGAGAAATGACCCTGATAATGTTGGTTCAGCATTTTAGGCAATAAATCCTTATTTTTACTTTGTGTTGATAATTAGTGTTTATTGGTGCAACTAATAAGCATTAGCTGATCCTATTGTATTGTATTGCGTTGTATTCTAAATAATTCATGGAAGGAAAATACTTCTTTAAAATGGGCAGTAGTTCAGCATTATTTTATTTCTTCCACCATAATCTAAAGGCTGCTTTGAGGCACTTCGCGTCAGAGTAAGGAAAAGAGCGAGCAGCCTTTGGGAGGCCTTGGGCTGCTGCTGTGACTAAAGTGCTCATCCTGCTTAGATTCAGCACGAACTCTATGTGAACTGAACTCCAGCAGCTGCCTGCCTTCATAGACATCATCATCCTCGGAACTTGGGAGTCTTATCACCCTCCCCCATACTACCTTCCTTTGCTAGGCCCAAGGGAAGCACAGTCACCGACTAAACTGTGTTTACAGGAGAAGCAGGGCACTCGTCTACCTAGGAATTGTGTGAGTCTGACGTCTGTGTACTCACACTCTGAGGCAGACCCTATTGAGCCTTTCCACAGTTACCGTTCTTTAGATGGCTCCCTTTAGAGTTATATAAAGAGTTATTTCAAATGATTTCTTTTAATGAAGCAACTGATGGATGAGTCTATACAGGAACATTTTCAGGTTTTAATCACTAATTACAATGAAGGACCTGAAGACCAGGAGCATACCTTTATTGTGCAGGCTAACTTGGGAATGGATATCATGCCAGGTGCTAGTGACCCACTAGGGGCAGGCAGGCTTGCTCAGAGAGCACTTTTTCTTCACAGGGACCAATTCCAGAACACTTATAGACTATACCTGCAGATAAGGGCAATCATTTCCATTTACCTACCAATCTGTACTTTCAATATAAATTTCAGTTCCTGCCCCCTCGGAACTCAGTTGTTAAATGAAAATTCTGATATAGACAGTGTTATTTAAAAAAAACAAACAGTTAAAACCATTTTCATGTCTGTTGGTGACAGTACAATATAATGTTCAAAGTATAGAGAGTAGCTATTTTAAAACAATTTTCAAAATTTTCAGATAGGTCCATTTTCATTTATTATATAAAATTTTAATTCATTTAATCGGGAAGTGCTTCATATTTTTAGAAATATGGCCCAAATCTATTGCTAGGGCAACAAAGCCCTGCAGCTGCAGGGGAAGGGAGGACAGCCTGCAGGCACTGTTGCGAGCTCACTCTCCCACCTGTCGCAGCTCAGACAGTGAGGTGGAATTTGCTTCCCATAATTCTACAGATTGTTTACTATCAAATGAAAGGGCCATCTCAACATTATCTTGGCATGTTAGCATACTGGTTTATCTCTCTTTAGAAGGCATGATTTTAGTAATGGTTTTATAAGTATATAACACAAATTTAATTGGTTCTTTTAGAACTTATGCAGATTGGGGCTGGAGAGATGGCTTAGCAATTAAGAATTGCTCTCCTGAAGGACCTGAATTCAGATCCCAGGGTCCACATCAGGTGGGACCCACTTCAACTCCAGGAGATGCAATACCCTCTTATGACTTTTACAGATGTAAGCACATATGTGAGCATACACACACACCTTAGTACACATATATGCATACACACACATCTTAAAAGATACAGTGCAGTGGTGCTGCCTTTGCCTAGGACAGTAGTTCTCAGCCTGTGGGTTGAGACCCCTTTGGGAGTTGGATGACTCTTTCACAGGGTTTGCCTAAGACCATTGGAAAACACAGATATTTACATTATGATTCATGACAGTGGCAAAATTTCTGTTATGAAGTAGCAATGAAAATAATTGGTTAGGGGTCACCACAACATGAGGAACTGTGTTAAAGGGCTGCAGCATTAGGAAGATTGAGAACCACTGGCCTATCATGACAGGGACCCTGGGTTTAATCTCCAGGATTTAAAAACGTATCATGGAGGAGAAAAAGAAAAGAGAAAACTTCAATTATTAGAGGATGAAGAGATGGTTAAGAGCACTTGCTGCTTTTCCAGATGATTCAGATTCAGTTCCCAGCACCCACAGGAGAAAGCTCACAACTGCCTGTAACTCCAGCTGCAAAGGACCTGACCTTTCTTCTGACTTTTGCAGTCACCCACACGTGTGTTGCATACACTCACACACAAATACACACATATGTTAGTAAAAACCGTTAATTAAAGTTACATTTTCTGTGCCTCTGAAGTAGTTCCTCTTCCAGTGAATCCCCAGTCATCTGCCAAAAACCTTTCCTTTTTGTCCTTGTCCTTTCCTGTCACAGTATGAAGTGGTTGGAACTTCCTTTGTGGGCAAAGGAAGATGCCAAAAATTCGACTGCTTGGGGAAAGGATATAAGATCATTCTGATCAGTTTCAATAATGAAATGGTTTTATAGTTACAGAATATCTCACTCCACCACTCAGCCTGATGAGCATCAGATCTTTGGCTGTTGGCAAGGTGACATCCTTGAGGCAAATTGGAGCTGGCTGCTGACGACAGGTAGGAGCCCAGAATTTTGGCATTGGCTTCCATTCCACAGGATTGTTCTTTCCTGTTCAGCCATGGCCTGTGGCGGCTCCATCGAAAAGTAGCATCAGGAAGGAGAATAATTAGAAATATGAAACTTGAGGGACAGGGAGGAGTTGGTTCAGCAGGTGAACTGTTTGCACAGCAGACATAAGGACTGAGTTTGATCCCCACCACCCACTTAAAAGATGGCTAATTCCAGTCTGGGACTGAAGACAAATAACTAACCTAATCGGTGAAGTTCAGGCTTAGTGAGAGGGAGCCCATCTCAGTAAAGGGTAGAAAGTGATTGAGAATGACACCCAGTGTCAGCCTCCACGTTTACACGCATGTACACATACAAACACGTTCAGAGAGAGAGAATGGAATTTAAGCATATCATAGTCTTTATCAGTCTTTTCACTTGAGCTTTCTGAGCAGTTGACCTAAAGATGGAGTGAGTCCATTCATGTTTGTAAAATATAATACAAGTGAACTCACAGTTTTCATTGAAATTTAATAAGTTATTTCCAAAAAACTGGGAATCTTGAGGAAGTACAACCCATCTTAAAAGATGAATACTTAAGTGCCTTCACCCTCCAACACCAGAATGACCAATTGTTTCTACTTCATGTCTGTCCCGCAATCTTCTTGCATGTTACCACATCATTCCAATCTTTATGACTTAAGATGAATCTGCCATCATAATCTGTAGATGCTTATGCTCCTTGTACTCTGAAACCAATGATAAGAAAATTTTGTTTCTAGCATTCTCCGCAGTTTGGTGCTAATAAAAGCAACAACCAATGGTATTTAATATGCAAGCATATAAAATTTCATAGAAAATATTTAACCATAACTTTTTTTCAGTGTCCTTTATGGCCTTAAAAATATATTCAGCCAGGTGTAGCAGCCATGCTTTTAATCCCAGCACTCAGGATGCAGGGGTAAGTAGATCTCTTTGAGTTCGAGGCCAGCCTAATCTGCATAGCAAGCAGTACTCTTCTTTCTCACTATGTCATCATTGTGCTAAGCATTTTTTAATTTCTCCTTTGTAAATTGTCTCAAGGTCCACTGATAAACTATACACAGGACTAGTCTTGCTCTGCAGTCCTGTCCAGGTTAGCATACAAGCATAGCACTGAGCCCTAGAGCTCTTATAAGTCTGATTGGGACTCTCTGCAAATATATCCCTTTGGCTCTTTAGGGACAGTTGTCAGTCCTGGGCAAGAAAATTCTGGGGGGGCAGCAGGGAAGCTGTGTCAAAATATCTAAGCCTTTGAAGTGACCATTGATGGAGACAAAACAAACATGGATTTCCCAGAAAGTACCAAATTTTAAATAGCCCTGAGTAGGTTTTTTTTTTTTCTCTTAAATTTCTGCCTCTAGATCAAGACAAATTATACACTTCATTTCTTAGGCTGTTTCCTGTTTTAAATTTCATTTTTCAGAAATGCAGCAATAAAAGCTGATGACATAGGAAATACTGTGCATCTGTAGGGTATGGTGGTAATTTATTCCTGCCCTTCCATGGCCTAAGCTCCCTGTACTCATTATCTGAACTTATAACGGTTGCAGACCTGATGTGACTTCACATTTGCCCCAAGAGGAATAGCACATGGCAGCATGTGTTTGGGGCCGTAACCAGGAGAATAAGCCTCCAACACCTACATCCTTGTGCCAGAGGCTCTTCAGGAGTGACCAGGGAATTGTGAGCCAGGGTGTCATCCCAGCCTTAACCCAGGTCTCATTTGGAAAGCCCTCTGGCGGCAGGGCTGTCCTGCTGATTCTGTGAGAGCTGCAGGCCTGGGTGGTAGGACTCTCCCTTCCAAGGAAGAGCTCATAATCCACCAGGAGCTGCAGGAGTTTGCAAAGAGAAGCCTCAGTCACGATGGCAGTCACTTCAGAGGGCCCAGGCTCTTCAGTTCACAGGTTCATCCTTTGACTGGTGTGGCAAGAGGGGCAGGAGCTTCTGGCATGGACTTCTGGTCTATGCCCATCATGCATATCTGTGACTGAGTCAGACAGATACAGGACAGGATATGATTCGATCTTCTAACATCACACTGATTACCAAGAAGACAAAGTAAAGAAGGAACATGGTGAAGCCCAGGATCTTGTTCATTCTCCATTTACACGAGGCGATTGAGAAGATGACAAACAGGAGCATGAGAAACAGCAGGACGATGGCACAGAACAGGCCATTGCTGCTGACGGGAACAGGCTGCAGTGTGTTGATGAGAGAGAAGAGGAGCCAAGGGACAGGCAAGCTGCAAAAGAAAGCCAGCGTGAACAGTGGCTGCTTGTAATACCCCCGGTGCTGGACTAGTGGGTTAAGGTTTTCCGAGTTCTTATTTCTCACATGCACAAGATGAAGTAAACAGAAATTATTAACCTCAGTTCACTGATGAGGAAATGCAGGTTAGGGAAACAATATTAGTTGAAAAGGGTTTAAGGCTTATTGCTGAGAGGCTAAGTTAAAACAAGTACTCCGAGCCGGGCGTGTTAGTACAGCACTGGGCACTGAGGCAGAATCTTCAGTTTGAGTCTAGCCTGGGCCAGTAAGATCCCATGTCAAAAAACAAAGAAACAAAACAAACAAAAAAAATGGAAAAAAGTGTCCTGGGTCTGAGTCTCACCCCCCCCTCCCCGTAAGCTTAGTGATGTATATGGGACTAACCCTCATCAATATGTGACTAATTTTCCAGTTTTTATGATTAAGAACTTCCTCAGGATGCATTTTATTTAGTGATCAGATCTTTCTGATCCCCACACCACCCAAAGCCCCTCCCTAACATTCACATACACAAATTCCAAGCAAAATAACCAAATCTAAGACATGACCAGGGAAATGAAAGCAGCCCAGGTGCTCTGACAGCCCTCGGAGACCAGGACCAGGGAGGGAGCTGTTACACAGGAGGATGGGTAGTTCTTGTTTATACAAAAGGCTATTTGAAGCCTCTGAGCTAGCAGGAGCCCGAATATGAAGAAGAAGGATTGGCATGGCTCCTTCCAGCCCCTCCCTTCTCGACCTCCTTAAAGGGCACCATTTTACTGTATTTGGAGAGGGAATGAATGGACTTCACTTCTCAGTTCATTTAAGTTCCAATCAGTTACCGTTAAGGCTATGGTGAATGAAGGGAGGGTATGTCGTTGCTTCAAAAGGACAAACCACACAAATGCCCTTTTGTTGCATCTGTAATAAAGGAAGAAGAAAATCACCCAACAAAGCCAATGCAGTTTCCAGTTGTGCTGAATATGCCTTAGAAAGTAAGATCACCACTCACCCTACTGTTATATCAAATATGTTACTGCCCACTGAGCTTGACACAGCCATGTCTCCCAGGCCTTTCCGGGCAACAATCACACTGGTGATGAGGTCAGGAATTGAAGTGCCTGCTGCTAGGATCGTCAAACCCATAATCTCTTCCGAAATCCCAATGGTTTCACCAACCTGGGGAAACAACAACAGTGGTCAGGAGCCATGGCAACAGCAGGGGGGAAATCTGAGCGTTCACAGCACTGCCACACGCTGCTTGACAAGAAAGCACTTAGGCTCTGCCCATGCCCTCTGCAAGACAGGGATGGGATGCGGATAGGTGAGACAGAGTCAGGCCCAGCTCCAGGCTCCGGGGAACCACACAGCTCTTCACTGAGGGTACTAAAAGTCTAATGATGCCAGCTCTGTCCTTCACTGTCATTCCGACAGACAACTCTACATGCCCCAGAGATCTGCCTCCCCAACAGTCTACTCGGTCAACACTTCTTTTCTGCGGCCATGCGACCCATGCAGTTCACTGGGAGCTAGCCAGGCTGCAGATAGCAGTTTGGGCAGTCTATTTAGCTTAGAGCAAAGCTTTGCCATCACAGCTCTGTGATAAATGCTGTTCTGGGCAGAGCACAAAATCTCTTGGTGCTCAGGCACCATGGTACAATGCTGGCAAGCAGACCAACTAAGTCAACTCAAAGGGAAGAGATTTTGTCAGTTTTGCGCGCAGGGGGGGTGGGGGGTCAGGCCAGCCCGGTCCACTGGAATTTGGATGTGAAGGGCCTGCTATGCCATGATACAGCTGAATACCAGTTAAGATAGGAAAACCATACTTGGAAAACGATCGACGGACTAAATGTCTACTTTGAAGGTCTTTACAAACAGCGTGGGAACCACAGGCACACTGGATCTTGATAGTCCCAGACACTGGAATGCATCTTAAATGACAAGCACTAGGACCTGCTGGTGGAAGAGTGAGCTACTGCCCACTCACCTGGTGAGCCCACCATACCATGAGGTATGAGAACATGGCTATCCAGATGATGGATCCCAGGAAGGTGAGGACAAAGAACTTCCTGGACTCCTGTTAGGGATGGAAAGGGAAGAGAAGTGAGTTGCAGAGCTCCGTCTTTGGCCCCCTCTCTGAGGGAACTCCAGGGAACTCCAAATTGTGATGAGGTCTAGAGGATGGGTAATAATGAGGAAGATGGGGAGCAGTCTGGGTGAAGCTGTGGCCCTTTCCCAGAGAGCCCCTGGAGCCGTCGGTAAGGAGATGTGGGGGAACCAGTCCTGTCTAGCAGACATTCAACAGAACCAGGCCAGAGAGAGCTATGGGCTTGTTCTAGAATCAGACCCAGCTGAGTACTTGAGTTTGCTTTCTGCACCTTTCCTATGCCCCATCCCTCTTTGGACTTTAGGTGGGGTGGATTAGAATTTCCCTACAGAGAGAGGAACGATATGGAAAAATAGCAATTACCACCCTGGGTTTTCAGAATATCTCTGTGAACTATGGATGGGTACAAGGCCATGGTTTCCAAACTAAGACCAGAATACCGAGATTAGAATCAAGGGTGGACTGGTTCATACTGCTCATGGTGGCAGACATAAGGCACCCTGAGGTCTCCGGCTCCTGACTCAGAATGTGGTACATGGTTCCCCACAAAGCTGCAGCCCCATCCCACATCCTCATGGGTAAAGTCTACCAAGCTAGGTTTCCCAGCCTTCTTCCCGGAACCTAAGACTCCTAGCCTCTTTCAGGATGGGCAGCCTGGGACACAGCTACGTACTCTCACCTGCCTCCGTACATCCGGCACTGTCAGCCACAGTGGGAACACGATGGGCAGGAGAAAGAGGTAAATTGCCTGCTTCTGCCTGGTCTTGGGCCACTCCAAGGACAGAGGCTCCTCGTTTTCCTCCTCCTCCTCCTCCTCCTCTTCTTCTTCCTCCTCTTCATCATCCTCTTCATCATCTTCCTCTTCTCCACTGTCCCCTCCGTCACTTCCCCCTTCACCATCTGCATCTTTCTCACCTTGAGTGGTCTCACCTTGGGTGGTCTCACCTTGGGTGGTCTCACACTGATTTTCAGCATTTGCTTCTGCTTCACCTTCACCATCTTTTACCTCAGTGTTGTCTGCTTGGGTTTCACTTTGCCCTTTTTTTCGTCCTGCCTCTGTTTCCCCTTCATGTTCATCTTCATCTCTTTCTGCCTCAGTTTCTCCTTCCTGTTCAACAACTTTTTCTTCTGCCTCAGTTTCCCCTTCATGTTCATCTTCTTTTCCTTCTGCCTCAGTTTCCCCTTCATGTTTATCTTTTCCTTCTGCATCAGTTTCCCCTTCATGCTCATCTTCTTTTCCTTCTGCCTCAGTTTCCCCTTCATGCTCATCTTCTTTTCCTTCTGCCTCGGTTTCCCCTTCACCTGGTTGAGTTTCATTCTCTTCACCTGTCACAACTCCTGTGTGTTCAGTCTCACCCACATCTCCCTGCAATCCAAAGACAACAGGTTAATGTGTGGTAAGAATCCTGCCTGATTTGCATCCCAGTGGCTCCCTGTCTTTGTTTTTGTTGTTGTCAGAGCATCTGAGCAGTTGCATCAGAGCATTCAGAGGAGAAAACTGGCACAAAGATGCGGCAAACTTCCCATCACCGCATCCCGACCCACTTGTATTTGGTCATCTCCAAGGCTGGAGCACTTGCCACCTACAGCAGCGTCTGCCACCTTTAACAGCATTGGCTGCTTTAAAGTCACTATCTGTATCAAAGCCCCGCCACCACATAGTTTTACCCTCTGAAGACATATGGAACAAGCCTAAGCACTCTTCACAGGACAGCACCTTCATGAGTTGAAGGTTTCTGGGTTCTCCGGCATCGGGAGTCCTATGGCATAGGGACTGCCACAGTTAGATGACCTTGTTCTAACTAGCCATACCGTGAGTGGGACATCCAACACTGAGCACAGACCCTACACACACTGGAACAAGACTCCCTTGTCTTATGTACTGGGCTTCCTTCCACATCGACTAACATGACTGATATGCTTTGTCAGACACAATACCTTGCTAAGTCTACTAAGCTCCCGAACTCTTATATCGCATGTAAGATGATGATAATTTACCTATCTATTGCACACTCTCACATGCCAGGCACAATAGTAAATGACTTCATGATAATAGCAGCTGCTGCATTTCATGGACCCACCAATAGATAGACCTGGGCCCATCTGACTACTGGTGACAAAGCTGGGGTAGGGAGGGATTAAGTTGCCCATGGTCCACAGTTTGTATGTGATGGTATTGGGATTTGAACAGATAGAATTCAATTCTCAGTCTCTTAACCACTAACATTCTAGGACTGAAGGAGCCCCTGGCTTCCAAAATTGTTATCTTGGGGATCTTATTAGAAGTGCAGATTTCCTGTCTCTACATTTATCAGCTGACTTAGAACCTCTGAGATGAAAGCAATCATCCATAGTTCACATGCTCATTGTTCTAGTATATTCATCTGCAGAGCTTTGACTGTCTGTACACAGAAAGCCACTAGTTCTGATGGTCCCCAATTAGATCTGAAACTAAGGGTAGCATTGCAGTCTGTCCCCTGGAGCAAGAGCCCCTATGGTTAAGGAGTAAGTATGGCACTTGTAACAAATGTCCTAAGAACTCCAAAGGACATTCGGTGATTCTCAACTCTGCTGCACATGGAAATCACCTGGGACAGGGTCTCCCTGTGCAGTCCTGGGTGGCATGGGACTCACTATGAAGACCGAGGTGACCTTGAACTCACAGAGATCTGCTTGCTTTTGCCTCCTGAGTGCTGGGATTAAATGCATGCTTCGCCATGCCTGGCCTGACTGGAGACTTCTTAAGCCAGGATTCTGGAGGACCTGCCCTGGGGATGTTGACTCAATGGGTAGGCAAGGAACAACTTTTTAAAGTTTTCCCATTTTATCCTAATATGCAACAAGAGTTGAGGGTCAATGAAGAAGCAAAGTTACTATCTGTGGATGTCTGGGCTTTGAATTAGGAATGACGAATGAAAATATTTCTCTAAAATCATCCCTGCCTCCCTCCTCTGGCCCCATCACAGGAGCAGGCTTCCTGGAGGTGGCAGTTCATTTAAGTAACTAGGTATGAGACAACCAGCTATACCACCTTCCCTGGCTCCCAAAATTGTTACCTTGGGGATCTTATTAGAAATGCATGCCTAGACCAGACAGTGGTGGCACATGTCTTCAATCCAAGAACTTGGGAAGCAGAGGCAAGTTGGTCTTTGAGTTCAAGGTCAACCTGGTGTACAGAGTGAGTTCCAGGACAGACAGGGTTACACAGAAGAAAAAGGAAAGGAAAGAAGGAAAGAAGTAGGAAGGAGGGGAAGGAGGGAAGGAAGGAGGAAGGGAGGGAGGGAAGGAAGGAGGAAAGGAAGGAAGGAAGGAAAGAAGGAAGGAAGGAAGGAAGAAAGGAAGGAAGGAAGGAAGGAAGGCAGGCAGGCAGGCAGGCAGGCAGGCAGGCCTGATAATCCAGGTGAGCAGCAGCTCCCTTCTGTGTTGCACTGAAGGCACCTCATCTCTCCCAGGGCCATGGTTGCCTGGCTGTGTACTAGATCCCTGACCTGTGACTTAAGCTGAACAGATTCTAAGACTAAGATCTGGTGACTGGTTGGTCCCTGTGGACTGGAAGGCTGGGCTGGTAGTTTAGGGTTGAAGTCAGTCATAGAGTCTGCACACAGTGGAAGCAGGGAGGAAGGGCAGCAAATGGAGGCCTTCTCGGGCCTCAACCCAGCTTCTTATGAGGTTCAGCTTCATTTCCTGGACTGAGGCTCCAGACGCCTCTACATCCTCTTGTTCATTTTTGACATGAGCTGGCCATAATGGGCCTGCTCAGTGCGCACATCCTGGAAGGGGACGGACACCTTAGAGACTGAGTCTCAAAATTGCTGAATTGTGGGTATACATAAAGTGTGCTTCTGGACGCTAAAAGAAAAGGCAGGATTGGTACGTGCACCTAAACGTCTGTTTACTGCCAGTCACTCAACCTGTATTGAGCGCAGCATGTGCCAGGCAGGATGGTTCCCTCAGGTGGAGGTAGAAATGACTCGGGCTTGGGTCCTGTCCTCAGGAACCTGCTAGCCGGTCGGGGAACTAGAAGAGGCTCGGAAAACAAGGAGGCAGTTGCGGAAGCCCCATGTCAGGTTCAGAGTGCCCTGGGGCATTTGGATTCAGGGAAGCCTTGTTGGCAAGGGAGCTTTCTGCCCACACCAGGCTAGATAAGGCTATCTGGGGATGGAGGGCGAGGGACTACGGGGAGCTGGTAGAAAAGTGTGGAGACAAATTCCACTTGGTCTGAGAATAGTGGAAGAAGAGGCCTCAAGGCAAACAGGCAGGAACAGCAGCAATGAAGGACCTTGGGTCATGCCAAGGCCTCTTACCCAGAAGTCCTCTGACTGAACTTCAAGCCACTGGTGATCTGGCACAACCTGGACTTAGTCTCTGGTTGCTTTGCTGACACACTAGCAATTCCTTATGCTCTTTTAGCATGTAGTCGTGCATACACATCCGTATGTGTGTATACATATATACACATATATAAAATATGATATATATGTGTACATATATATAATCTCATGCTCAGGTGAAAGTGTGAGCATTTTCAAATGATTTCAGAGAAGGTTCACCCCACAGGGATAAACCTGATTGGATTTCAGGCCTTCAAGTAGGAAGTATTTTGGCCAGAAAACCCTTCCTTAGCCTCTGAAATTCCTCCAGCTGGGTGCCTACCTGGCCTCCTGGATCCTCCTCCTGATCTCCCTTGGCGTCTGGAGCAGGGGCTGGAGTAACCTTGACCGCAGGGAGCTCGGCTGGCTCCTCCTCTTAAAGGACAAACACGGGTTAGGTCAGAGCTGAGCAGGTTCTGAGAGACAGGGGGAGAAACTACAGGGCATTGGCAGGAGGGGCTAAGGTGGCTTGTCTGGAAACTAGGAATGGTCCTTTCTCTGTCCTCTGAATAGGTGAAGGACAAGATGGCATCTGGGAAGCGTTCCCCTGTGCTTGCAGGCATTTCCTAGAATTGTGGCCAGGGATTCTGGAACTACTCAGGTAAATGGAGCAGGGAGGGCTGGTCCTTTGAAAGGGATCCCACTGAGTTCAAAGGCAAGGGCTCAGAGGCCATGGATCAGAATGACAGAGAGCTGGGTCTTGGAAAAAATCTGAAATGCTCATGTTAGCTACAGGCTAAGGACCTCTTGGCTGGGTGGTTTGCGGCAGTTCACTTGATCTCTCTGAACCTTGGTTTCCTTGGCTATGGAATAGAAAGAATGGCTGCTGTTTGGCCCCCTCTATGGGCTGCTGAGTCAGGTAAACCTGGTGTGCAGAGCCCATGAGCAGTTGCTGTCCTACTTCCTTGGTCCTAGCTGCCAACAGATGCTAGGCCTCTGTCACCAGGCTCCATGTCACCTTCCCTCAGTAGGGTCACTCATTCCGAATCACTCACAGCAACAATGTCCTTGTATAGAAGTCACAGGAAGAAGGAACACAGTCTCACTTGGAATGAGGTTTAGGAAATAAGATGAGGGAGCTGAGTGTTCCCCTGGCCTTTCCCTGCCTGCCCCACCTGCAGAGAGCAAGGAGGAAGCTACTGGGAGCCGGAGGCAGGAAAGTATCACTGAAGGAAGGGCCTGAGAGACACTGACTGACATGGGCCTCAGTGTCTGCTCTACCCAGGCTGTGACAGGAGGTGGGGCAGGAGAAACCTGGCCTGCGGCCAGCGTGCCATCCTCTCACCGTTGGGACTGCTCTCTGCTTTGGTCTGGGGGTGGGCTTTGGCCTCCTGATTCAAACTCTCCTGCTTTTCCTTGGAGGGGCGGGCTGTGAAGGAGAAAGGAAGACATCTTATCTGGAGCTTCAGTGGCCAGTCAGGGCCCTGCACTGCCCAGCGGTACAGGGCAGGGAAGACTGGCCTAGGCCTGTGGTGTGTGTCTGAGCTCTCAAGGCCTACCTACTCCTAATGCCCCATTTGCAAACTGGGCTAAGTCCCATCGTCATTAACCAGCTATTGCTCCTCCTGTTTTCTCTCTGATAAACATATGGCTGAATTGGGAACCAACCTGCAGGATGTATTTCCTTCATGGACTCAAGCGATGGCTCATTTGAGGCATCTGACCCAAACTTAGTAGGATCCCTGTCAGGATCAGTCAGTGATGTCCGTGATGGGCAAGGAGTGGAGAAATGGTGGCAGAGAGGCTGCTTGGCTGCTCATGGACTAGATGATCTGTAAGGTCCCTTGCAGCTTACCCCTCATGGGCCTCCTAGAAGCCAGCGCAGCACATTCTTTGCAGGCTGCTCTAGGGGTCCCAAGAGCCTCCCTTTACTGCAGAAGCAGCAGGGGATCAAGCTTCGGTCATACCCTTTTGAGCCCAGAAATCAAGCTTCCAAGTGGGTGTCACATTTTTATTGGCATAGATTTTACTGGAGACCTCTAGAGTGACAGGCACAGAATAGCTGCCCTGATTTCCAGGAAAGAAAAGGACAGGGAGGCCCCCTCTCCTGCCAGGCAACATGCAAAGGACTTCACATGATCACATGAGTAACTTTGACATAGAGAAGGGATGGACTGAGAAGCAGGAGCTTAAGAGCCCCCCCGGCAGCCGTGTGACTTGAGGGAGGGGTAGGGCAGGCAAGACAATGGTGGACAAATGGACACATAGAGTAATGGCCACACAGTTTCTGTCCTGAATGCAGGCTAGCTCTCTCCATGAACACTGAGTTACTTGGGAAGCCTGTGTGTCCTCTGAAAATGGTAGCACCATGATACACCCAGAGCGCCAACTTGAGTCTCGAGACAAGAGTACTTGAGCACCGCAGCGCTTCCCCCACCATCAGGCACACACCCTGGAGCCTGAGGACCTGGGTGTGATTCCCCAGGCACACACACAGGAACCTGAGGACCTGGGTGTGGATCTTCGCTTGACCAGGTGCACTATAGTGATGGCCCAGCTGGCTGATCTCTTAGCCTATCCATCCCTCAGACACTTCACCTGAAAAGCCTTCCAGAGTTGTAGCTGTAGCTGGCCGATGAATTTATGCATGACTGTATTTAAGACAGCCCCTAGATGTCACTGTGTTACTTTTGGGCTGTCACGATGATGATGGTGAACTGGTACCAGTAGTGATCCACCACTTTCCACCCAGGCAGCAACAGTTCTGTGGTGAAAATGCCCAACGTTCCCGAGGGTTTGAGTTGGAAAGAGACCCTGAAGGTCATCTAATGGGGAGGGAGTGCATGCAGACTGCAAGGATGCTAAGAAGGTATGGGGCTGGGAAGCAGGATGGAATGAAGCCTCTGCCTGGACCCAGGATAGGCATCTTCTCCTTCCTCCTGTGCCCTAAACCCTCGGAGTCATTCAGCTGCTGCTGACTTGGCTGTAAATGCCCTTTGCAGGATCACTGCTATGGTCCTTCTGGTCCTCGAGGTGTCCTGGCACACAGCTGATCTTCCTGGAGTGTTCAGGACTTCAGAACAACCCTGTCTCCTCAATCCAGAATGCCCAGGGCCCTCTAGCCACTAATCAAGAGCTGTAGCACCCTGATGAACAGAGAATTACACTATCAAAGAAGGGCATCCCGGGATCCCCATCCTGGCACCGGCACATCAGCTGACTGCTGGCTGGAGGAACCCACAGCCCTCATCACTCGCCCCTGTCTCTCCTTTCCCTGGTCACTGTAGAATGTCTTCTCCATTTCTGCTCACACACACACACACACACACACACACACACACACACCTGACTGGGAGCAGAAGAAAATCGTGGGGCTCAAGGGAGAGAAACACCACCCTGGGGAGGTGAGAGTTCAGAGAAAGGGGAACATCTCCTGTGGACAAAGCTGGATCTGAGAAACTCCATTTGGTGAAAACATCTGGATAGCCATCTGGAAGCTGCCAGGGAAGCAAACATCTGGGATGACTTTTGAACAAAGGCCTGGGAGGACCTAACCCCTCCTGGGTGAATGCGCTGGCAAACTCTCAGACTCCAGCTCTGAGCAGCCTTGCATACCAGGACACATCTGCAATTATTCATCTCAAGGGTCACCCCTGCCTTACCACACCCACATCCCTATACCAGGTCTCCCCTGCCACTGTTCCCTGGAGTGCCCTCTCCCCACCCAGCATGGCTGGATCATCTCCTTAGTGCCAATCTCCTGTGACCTCAGCCTGGCCTGAACACCACATAATCCTGTTAGGACAAGTAGGCCAGCTGGCAGTTGGCCACAGAGGAGGCCGGGTCTGGGATCCCCACAGTCCATTCAGGAGAAGTTCTTTGTTTTTAGGGCTTGGCGGGAGTCCACGGTTCTGCTAGGAATGGCTAGGCATGACTTAGAGTCCTTTTGGAAGTCAGGCCAGGTCCACCCCAGACGTCAGACCTGAGGCTGTTCCGGTCTGCCCACTCCTCAGGTGTGCTGTTCACATGGGGTAGCTTCTTCCACGTCGGGAAGGCTCGCTGCCTTGCCCTTGACACTGCTTTTCCCAAAACAGCATACTTTTAAACACATAGTGCCCATATTATGTCTGAAGGAGTAGGTCAGGGCCTATGACAGTCTGAGATCCTAAAATGTGCCCCTTAACCAGAAAGGCCCAGTCAGGGGTCTCCCTGGGGCTATTCTTTTGTGCCATATTTCAGGCTCTCCTGACTAATTGCATGCCTTGACTTTGCCCAAAACTAGATTTCTCCTGGTGGGCATCCTGCTTGGACTCAGTTCTGCACCGGAGACCCAGAAAAGGGGGTTTCACAGGGAAGTGGCGAGTTCCTGAGAGGCAGGCGGTAAGGGGTAAGAGACACGTGGGGTTGTGCTCAGGGAAGAGAGGGGAGATGGGACTTGGAGAGGTGGACAGTGGGACCTCCACTGCTGTCACTGTTTGTCAAGTTCAACTTCAGCACCTTAAACACTACATTCTGCTCCCCAGAAGTGCCTTCAGCATCTCCTAGGGTGTCCCTTAGGACTCCTGGCTGGCAGGGGAGACAAGCTTCCTAGGAGTCCAGAGCTGACTACGAAGCCAAGAGAAATGCCATGGGCTGTGGAGGAAGTGTCCCCAGAAGCATCCCTGGCCAGTCAACCTGTGGGACATTGGATCTGACCCAGCACAGATCCACATAAGCCATATGACATTTGTGTCCTGGCTGTGGATAAGGCCTTTCACTTTACGGGCAGGGACACCAGAGCAGGGATACAACAGAGTATTTCTTGGGGACCCCAGTGACCATGTTCCATGTGGCTCTGTCTTGGTGCGCCCAGGTCTAACTTCTTCCTTGTCTTCCAGACTGTCTAGCTGTCACTGCCCACCCCCTCTTCCGACAGTTCCATCCTCCCATCCCAGCCGACTGTCACTAGCATTTGTAGGGCCCAGATTCTCTCCAGTAGCAGGAGGAAAAGCAGACCAGCAGGTGGGAGGAGGCCTTGCTTACCTTCCCCCAGGGGGTCCAGGCTGTGGAGCATGAGGTGGTAGATGGTGCTGCGGATGACGCTGTTGTGGAGTGAGGCCGAGCTGCTCCCTCGGGTCAGCACGGACGGGAGCTGAGCAAGGGGAGAGCCACAGAGGCCTCAGTGGTGCCCTGCCCAGGTCCGGGGAGGAGCTGCAGGACGGCCTCCTGGCCAATCTGCCTCCTTCCCGCAGAGACCAGAGAGAAGGTGCCCCTCGCCTCTCGCCCCTGCTTCCTTCACCTTCAACTCCCTCGCATCCTCCCTTTGATTCCTCCAGGGCCAGCTCCTTCTGCAGTTTAAGAGTCCCACAGACTCCACAGGAAACAGGTCATGGGGATCAGTAGTACTTTGTTATCGGAAGGTTTGCCCCTCACTGCAAGCAACCTTCTAGAAACACACCCTCATCCGCATCCACACAGGCAGGCTGCTGCGCCAGGCACAGCTCTCTACAGTCCACACATTGCGCCTGACTCTGTTGTCATTGTCCCATGCCCAAGGATAAGCAATGCCGGGAGCCCCATCAACAGGAAAGAAGGAAGCACGCAGGGAGGTGGCATGTCCAAGGTTACGCCAAGGAGCGAGTCAAACTAGCCCCCCAGGGCTACTGACTGTGAGCCCACTTTGGCTTTACACTCTGGTGCTCAGAGACCTCCAGAGGCACCGAAGTACCCACACCTGTTCTGCACACAGATGTGACACACACGTGCTCATAGCAACACAAAGAAATACCCTAAGATTACCACTGAAGACACCCACCTGTTCAGCCTCCCCCATCCCGTTCCGGCTGAACTCTTGCGCCACCTAGTGGCCGTGGCCATTACAGTAGACTTGGAGAATTTCTTAGAAATGGAGAAGGTTCAGTCCCTCAAGTACCACCCACCACCACCTGCCCCGCTTTCTATCAAAGTTCCCGGTAACTCCTTTCACGCGGCGCCTTAGGTTCGTCTTTCAGAAACCTTGGGCCCTGCCCCCTCAAGAGCTTTCCCCTAGTTCCTTAGATCTGGATATGATAAAGCCACCAGTAATTGAACTTTTATCAACCAGCGTCGGGACTGGAAAGTATGACTTGAATTTCTCTAGTCCAAACTGTGTCTTAAAGACATAGGGCCTAAGGTTACACAGCAGGCTCGGGACAGAGTGAGCTGTGATTTAAAGCCACAATTCCCAAGCTAGCACCATATGGATGCCTTCACCACACAGCCTGCAACTCTCCACTGGGGAAGCTTCATACACCCACCTTTAGCTTCTTGCTATCCTGTGACTCGTTCTCCTCAATGGCACCGTCACTGGGCTGCAAAGGAGAGCAAAGATCAAGAGATGAATGCAGATACCATGGTCTGCATGGTCTGCAAAGAAGAGACCCTGCTTCTTTGGTCCCACCTGCCCCTCTCTCTGGGGTAGCGCTGGGGAAACCCAGAAACACTAATCCGTCTTCAGAAAATGTCTCAACATTCCTGCCACCTTTTGGCTCAGATGTGTCACCTGCCTGGAAAGGGCATCCCAGGCTCCTCCTGCCGGTCCTGCATTGGCTGTTCACTCCTCATGCTTCAGGTCTCCATTTAAATGTCACCTCCCTCTGTGCATCTCTTATAGGTGCCTATTCTTTTCTGTCCTAGCATTTCCCCCAACTTCTTTGCATGTGAGCAGACGCGGTAAAGATGCAGTACATTTATTAAGTAAGTGGATAGATTCACCCGTTTGCGCCCTTTCCCTATGCCAAAGACTCCTTCTCTACACCTCCCTGCTAACCTGAATCTTTGGTTACTCCCCAGAAAATTCAGGGTGGATTCTTCTAGAAAGCTTTCTCCATGGTCCCTTTAGCTCCAACCCACCCTCACTCCTGCGTGCTGAGACAGTCCTAGCCTTGAAAGTTGGACAGCAACAGCACATCTCGTGATTCTAAAATCTTGCTTTGGGGTCAGATGAGTGTTTATGTCTTAGGGAAGCTGTGGGGGCTCCCGCTGAGGAGTGAGACCACCCTGCACACCCAAGATGAAGAAGCACAAAGCCCATTAGACCCACTTTCTTTGCATTCGTAGTCTTGAAATGCCATTTGAATGATAATGAATTGTCTATCCAACTGGAGTCCAGTAATTTATCTATTTTTAGAGATGGATACACTATCTAGCCCAGGCGTGCCTAGAATTCACTATACAGCCCAGGCTGGCCTTGAATTTGTGGTGATTCTCCTACTTTAACCTCCTTTACAGAGTGCTTGATAGAAGTAAACAACCATCCACTAGATTCTATGTTTGTTTGTTGTTTGTTTTTACCACGCAGGGAACATGTGATGTAGTTGTCTCTGGTCCCCTGACCTGTGGCTCTCAACAAAGGTAAAGAGGGTGCAGAGATAATCCCAAGTGGCCTCTGGTACTATCTTTAGGCACCAAGGTTATTAACAGTTGCCCCAGTGACTGTCTTTCCATCCCTCTGCTTTCCTCACTGGACACGAAGGCCCACCCATAAACAGAACAGCTTCATCCTCTGTTCTGCTCTGAAAATATAGAAAATACCACCTGACCACAGGCCACCCACTCTTATTCTGAGCACATGCTATTATAAGGGACTGTGCTGGTGGTTATAGAGAGAAAAGATATTTAGGACACAGAGTCTGTGTCCCGAAAAGATTGGAGAGATATCTCACAGATGGAAGGCAAAGGCAGAGATGGTGTTGCTGGTGAGGTGGGCCAGGAAGGCTTTCTCCAGGGGCTAGGATGTGAGGGCTTTTGGAAGGTGGGGAGGACTTGAGTGTCTAGACACTCTGGATGCTCACTGTTGAAGAACGGCCATGAAAATGAGTGACAGAAAGCTGAAACATCCAAGCTGGGTGTGAAGGGGGAGCTGCGGGTTTTAACAAGGTCCCTAACTATTCACGCCACACCCGTTAACGGATTGAGAGAAAAGAGACTTCACACAGCACTTCACGGTCCTATCCGCCTCACAGTTCATCATATCCAACTTTCTCCCATTGAATCTTCTAGAGGCAAAGATGTGGGAGCCTGCTACTTTGGGGACTGTCCCGCAAGAGCCAAGGAGCTGACCTTTGCCCCGTGGTGCATAGCTCTAATGTTGTTCTGTGGCTCAGATTTATTTAGGCTAAAACACCTCTCTGTGTTCATGGGCAGCCTCTTCGCATGCACTTCCAGCTCGGAGCCTTTTGCAGGGGAGTGCATGGTCTTGCCTTCTAGCCCTGGCCCGCCTTGAATGCTGAGGTTACACACTTGCACAACTCTCAGCTATTTTCTTCCTTTAAATTACCATGCTTTGTTTACTATTGCTGTTTTGTGTGGGGGTTCAAACACATGCTTGTCAAGGGGGGAGTCACATGCGAGAGGGTAAGTGTGTGCATGTGCATGTGTGTGTATGTGTGTGTATATGTGTTTGTGTAAGTTTGTGGAGATGGTTCTCTTCCCACTTTTTGTGGGTTCCAGGAATCAAACTCAGATCAACAGACTTTCATGTCAACCTTTTTTAATTTAAATTTTAATTAAAATTTGTTTAATATGAATGAGGGCTTTGCCTACATCTGTGTATCTGTGCCATGTGCATGCCTGGTGCTCCAGAGGCGAGAAAAGGGACCCCTGGTACTGGAATTGGATCCCCTGGAACTGGCTGGAGTTACAAACGATTGTGAGCCTATTTCTCCCTCCGCCTCACTACCCACACCAGGGAACCAGCAGACCAGGTCTTAGGCAGCTCAGTTTGGCCTCCACTCTCCTGCCTCCAGACCCAGAAAGTCCTTGAGTCTGGATCCGTTCCTCTTCAGGTGTATTCTTCATCCCAGAGCACAGTGAGTTTCTAAGCACATCACACTATGTTCCTCCTCAATGTTCTAGAAGCCTCGCTGTCCCGTGGAGAAAGAGCTGAATTCCTCTGTACCGGTCTCCTAACTGTCCATAGTGCAGTACTACAAACAACTTTTTGGGGGGCTTGTTTTGTTTGTCTTTTGATGAAGGGTTTCACTGTGTAGTCTTGGCTGTCCTGGAGCTTGCTCTGTAGACCAGGCTGGCCTTGAACTCAGAAATCCACCTGCCTTGGCCTCCCTGTGCTGAAATTAAAGGTGTGCCCAATCACTTTGATTCATTCTTTGAGACAGGGTCTCCTTATGCATCCCTGACTGGCCTGGAACTCCCAGAGATCTGTCTGCTCTACGTCCCACATGCTGGGATAAAAGGTGTGCGCCACGACACCCAACCTGTGACTTTTCCCAGTGCTTCCCACTGCCAAATTTTGTTGTTGCTGCTGCAATGGAGATCAAACTCAGGGATCAAATATGTCAGACAAGCGGTCTGCTGAGGGCAGAGATAGAAGTCCAGTCCTCTGAAAGCACCATTTCAACAAACTGTCGCGGAATGGTCCTCACACTGTGTGAAGATGTCACTGTGATTGGTTCAATAAAGAACTGAATGGCCAAAGGTTAGGCAGGAAGAAATTAGGTGGGACCTCCAGAGACAGAGAGGACTCTGAGGAGAAGAAAGGTGGAGTCCCCAGACATACTCGTGGCGGTAATGAGAGATAGGGTAATGAGCCACACAACAAAATATAGATAAAAATAATTGGGTTAATTTATGTTGGAACAAACCTAAGCTAAGGCTGGGATTTTAATAAGTAATAAGAAGTCTCTGTGTCCTTATTTAGGAGCTAGTGGCTCAAAGAAAACTCCAACAGGTAATGAACATAAAGAAGTTGGAGTAGTTTTGCGTTCTTTTTAGAATACTAAGTGCTTGATGTGTATCACATGCTTCTTTTTTTTGTTTTTGTTTTTTTTGGTTTTTTTTGTTTTTTTTAAATATTTATTCATTTATTTATTTATTATGTGTACAATATTCTGTCTGTGTGTATATATGCAGGCCAGAAGAGAGCACTAGACCTCATTACAGATGGCTGTGAGCCACCATGTGGTTGCTGGGAATTGAACTCAGGACCTTTGGAAGAGCAGGCAATGCTCTTAACCACTGAGCCATCTCTCCAGCCCACATGCTTCTTCTTTTACACTTCTTCAAATGCTCACGCTGCTGAAGTCGTGGCTACACTCTGTCCAACACAGCTGCAGTCTCTTTCCTCACGGACAGCTCCCGTTCCTCTGTCCTCAATACCTTTCTGTTTCCGGGCAGACTCCTGCATCCCGCTCTCCCAGGCCTTTCCCGACCCCTTGCAATCCGAATCCCTCCCCACTTGCCTACATCTTTCCACACAATGCTATAATTTTGACTTCCCCACCCCAGAGAACTTTCTGTACATCTGATGAAGCTTGGGCTATGGGACCTCTCTCCCTTTACACACCTAATTTCGTGCACGTGGTTTTATATCCTCCTTAATGAGTATCAGGTACCACAAAGCTGGACCAACTCTAGTTTCTCCATTGAGCTCCAGGAGAGCTGGGACTATGTCTCATTTGTCGCTGTATCACAGACCTGACAGGCATCACACCAAGACAGGCCATGAATATGACAGGACCCTTAGGGCCTTTGTCATTCACAGAGCTTTGATCCTCCTGTGTACAACCATCTCCTGGGCAGTAAGGGAAGCTCCCAGACTCATCACTCCAGAGTAGAGTTCCTGAGTTTCCTGAACCAATTTTCCCTCCAGGTTTCTCTTTCTTTGCATCTGGCACCACCATTCACTCTGCACCTATGCCAAAACGATCAGCACCATCCCTGACTCTGACCCCCTGCCTCCTCATCACCAAGCTCAGACAATAGCTTCTCCAGAACATCTGCCACAGACGACTGTACATATGTGGGCCCGTGTAATGCAGCTTCCCTCGCCTTGGTGCCTTCAGTGGTGGTTCAAAGCTAGCTGATGGAAAGTTTCAGAAACAAACACATAGTAACTTCTAAATTGCATGGTGTTCCGAGCTTGATTTGTTCTCAGGCTGCCCCTGGCCATCCTGCCTAGAACATGAATCATCTCTGTGTTCAGTGTATCCATGCTGTATATGCTACCCACCCATCAGTCATTTAGTAGTTATCTTAGTGATCAGAGTGTTCTCATTATACAGTGTTTGTATTCAAATAACCCTTATCTTATTTAAAAATGGCTCAAACGTACAAATATAATGATGTTGGAAATTTAACTGTGCCAAAGAAAAGAGCTTAAAGTAAATGTTATGAATTTTAGATTTGTCCAGTGGGGATCATGACATTGCATCTCCAGTGGATAATCTGAGACTACTGTATGCATGTGCATGCATGTGTAAACCCACATACACAGACAACTGGGGGCTCCAAACAGCTCCTAATCAGACACGTTGCTACTCCTACTCCCAGTACTGTGCACCTATAGTTCATT